TATTAAGAGCTGCCAGGCTCGTAATACTTTTAAAAGGAAGGCGTGCAGCAGGGGGCACCAAGCGTGAGCTAGGACAGCTGATTCCCAGTTTGTGCCTGGTCCCCATTACCCTTCTGCCTCCCCCGCTCCCGAGATGGTGCTGGAGGGAAACCGCTTTTAAGCTGGCTCCCCCCAGAACTGGCTTCTGTTCCCCCTCTCTTTGCTGCCCCTCTGTGATAGAGGCAGCAGGGGGGCAGGGTCGGAGGAGGAAGCGACTAGTCAACTCGTTGCTTACATTCCTAGGACTTACTGCCTTCGAACCCAGGAGTCCTGACTCCCTGAGCTCATCCCTGCTCTAACCACTAGACCCTTCTCCCTTCCTAGGTCTGGGAACACAACCCAGGCTCCCAGCCTACTTTAACCACTAAACCCCCTCCCCCACTTCTAGCTGGAAAGAGACCCAGGTATCCTGGCTCAGCAATACTCAAAGGCATGGAGCGCCCCCTACTGAACCCCAACACCTGCAGCACCGCACCCCTTGCTGGGGCACCCTGCTGGCTCCACGGAAAACCCCCTCTGCTGGGGCAGCAGCTGCACTATCCCCCTTTACCCCCCACCCTGTACCCCACAGGGGTGGCGGGTCAGTGCCCCCAACGCAGGCTCCAGAGAGTTAACGCAGCCCCTTCTGAGCAGCAGCCTCCTGCTGGCTTTGGCTGGGGAGCCGAGCCAGGACCAGGGCTGCTGTGGTTTCCTCTTCTCACACCACAGGAATCAACCACTGGGTATTTGACAGGAGTCAGGGCTCCTGGCTCCCAGTCCCTCCGCTGTGACCACTTGACCCCAGTCCCCTCCCTGAGCTGGGAACAGAACCCAGGAGTTCTGGCTCCCTGCTCTAACCGCTAGCCCCCACTCCCCTCCCAGAGCTTTGTGCCCAGCACTGGGCTGGACATCAGGACTCCTCGGTTCTCTTTCTGGCTCTGCTTTGCCCTGCTGTGTGACTGGGCCACTGGGAGGCAGGGTGAGGAACCAGGCTGGAAGTTCCTGTATGTCCCTCCATTCATAGAGAGGGAGACCTGCTCATTGCTGCTGGCTCAGTTGTCAGGGAGCCTGGCATCATGATGGGCCCCACTCTTGGGGTCTGGGCAGCGCCCGGCCCAACGGGGCCCCAATTCTGGCCAGCATGACAATAATACATGTATTGGCAGCTAGTTCCCTGCAGCGGCTGCTCCCGCAGGCTGAGTGGGGATCGGCCCCACACTCCCTGGCCAGCTCCCAGGGACTTTCAGAGAGCTGGTCATGGCATTCACGCGTCACACAGCAAACTCGATGGGGGGCAATGAACTTCTGCGACCCACGGAGAGCAGCCGAGGGAGCTGGGAGGAACACGAAGAGGGAGGCAGGCAGCTGCAGAGCTGAGCCCTGGGCATCCTTCACTCTCCTGAAAGCCACAGTTGGGAGTTTAAATGCTGGTGCTTGGTGCAGGACCAGGGTCAGGAGCTAGGCACCTGTTCTCCAGCCAGGGCATGTTTCTTAGAAACCCCAGGCTGAGTCCGCCTGGAGGTTCTGCCCTCAGGCCCCTGGCTCGGGGTCCGTCCGTTTCTCTGCCGTACTTCAGAGTCCAACGTCTCCCTCCAGCACCGTCCTATCGCGCCAACCGACTTTGCACCCTCTGGCTGTGGTTCGGGATGTTGTGACAGCGCCGGCCGAGAGCGCAGCCCCCGTGTGCTGGGAGCTGCACAGACACGGAGTGAGAGACAGCCCCGGCCCCAGAGAGCCCCCAGTCTGAGCAGAGCAGACCGAGTGTGGGGGGCAGAGAAACAAGCTCTCTGTGGCAGGGACTCCCCCTTAGTTCAGATCGGCTCAGTGCCCAGGACAGGCCCTGACCTCGCCCGGGGTCTGTGCAGCGCCCGGCACAACGGGGCCCTGATCTCGCATGGGGTCTGTGCAGCGCCCGGCACAACGGGCCCCGATCTCATGTGGTGCTCCAATACCAAATGTAAAAACCCGCTGGCCTGGATCATCTTGCAGCGGCTGCTTCCCCTGGAGAGAAGCTGTGCTGAGCACGCAGGCTGCCGCCAGTTCCCTGCTCCCTGCCCAGAGGCCAGCTCCTCCTCAGGATTTCCAACACGTGTGAGCAATCAAGACTGATCAGACCGAAGGAGCTGGAGTGGAAAGCGCCGCAATTACACCCCCTTATGCCTTCCTCCTGCTCTTTCTATTAGAGCCTCCCCCCTCCCCTGCGTTTCATTTCCTCTCCATTGAGCCCAGCTAAAGTGCCACGTTTCCTTCACGGCTCCGCTCCACTTCCCTTTCCCTCCGAGGCACCCCAGCGGGCCCAGCAATCTTGTTTTTACAGCCGGGTGGGCAGGGGAAGAACTTGTCCCCGAGGCCAGGAGCAGCCGCATGGCCAGGCCCAGCAGGGCCCTGATCTCATGTGGCGTTCCAGCACCACATGTAAGAACCCTGCATCCTGGGTCATCCTGCAGCCGGCCTGAGACAGCAGAGCGACCGAACGAGGGAAATTGACCGGAAAAGAGGCTGTGGTGGAAAAACTCCGATTGCTCCTCCTCCGTGGCTGGATAACTTCGTTAGCGCTGCCACGGAGCAGCTGAGGGCCCCGTGGGACCCAGCGCCAGCCCCCGCGGGCACTGCCCTGTGGTGTAGGCTGGGAGAAATGGGACCTGGCTGGGCTGAGGTAGCATGGGGTGCGGGGAGAGGGGCTGTGGGTCGGGGCCGGGGGGCAGTGTCAATTCTGTCAGGCATCAGCCCTGGAACTGTGGCGCATGCTGGAGGGTGAGACCAAAGCGAGGCAGCAGGGCTGCCCACAGGAAACTGCCCCTGCCTGTCTCACGGCTGGCGCTGCCCTGTGGCTTACGTTGCCCGTGGGCAGCGAGCGCTGGGCCGTAGGCACCAGCTGCAGAGCCAGCGTGATCTCTGACCCGCCGGGAAGCTGCTCCTCACAGGCACAGTCTGGAGTCAGCGGCCGGGTAACCCGAAAGCTGGATCTTGGTGCGTCTGCCTCGGGCACCCAGCGCCGCACCCCGTGAGAAGCCTGCAGGGCCGCTCCTGTGACACCCGGGCAGCTTTCAATCAGGGAGACAAAGAGCCTCTGATGCCGCGCTGAATCTGCCCATTCATCCCAAAATTGCCTCTTGCCGGGGGCCTGTCCCATGCCGACCGGCTGATCCCCAGCTCCTTTGGGCACGTGGACGGGGGCAGGGAGGGGATGAAAAGAATCGCTTTGCTGCTCAGGGCCTCTCTGAAGCCGGCCTGGTAACGCCCGGCGAGTTGGGTCAGAGGAGCAAGGGGGGGGGCAGGCCCGGGCAGATCGGGTTTTGGGTTACACCTTTGCCTGCCTGGAAGGCTGGAGCACTCCGACACGGCCCAAGGGGAGCCCTGGATCAACTCTCGGTCAGGGAAGCAGCTGGGGACTCCACATCTGACTCGTGGTGCTGCTCGTTGGGGTCCTGTTCCGGGGGCGGCGGGCGTGGGCAGGAGCCAGCTGAGAACTCAAAGGCACCTGGAGGCAGAGAGGGTCCCAAAAAAACAGATTTGGACTCAGACGCTCCTCCCAGGGCTGTGATTGCTCCGATAGCCCCGTGGGTGTTCTGTCTGTCCCCATCCACGCTGCGTGTTGGTCTGTCCGTCCGTCCATCCCTTCTCTGCTCTTTCCCCAGGCAGAGACGCCTCCCTGTCTGTGCCATGATGCTGGGCCTGACTGCGAGGGCAAAGCAGTTTGTGTTGCAGGGTTGGGGGGCACCTGCCTTCCCCCTCTGATGGCCTCTGAGGTTGGGGTTACCCGGTCAGGGCTGTCTGCAGATGCCCCCTTCTGCTCCCCGAGCCTGTTTCCAGCCCCCTCCTGTGCCTGTTCTTTTCAGCCCTTTCACTGCCGGTGTCCAGTGCACTGCTCCTACCCAGACCTGCCATTGCCCCTCCTTCCTTTAGGAGATCTGCCCCCCATTCCCATGACTCTGGGCCCCCCACTACAAAAAGGATGTGGACGCATTGGAGAGGGTCCAGCGGAGGGCGACCAAAATGATTAGGGGGCTGGAGCACATGACCTATGAGGAGAGGCTGAGGGATTTGGGTTTGTTTAGTCTGCAGCAGAGAAGAACGAGGGGGGATTTAGTAGCAGCCTTCAACTTCCTGAAGGGAGGTTCCAAAGAGGATGGAGAGAGGCTGTTCTCAGCAGTGACAGATGGCAGAACAAGGAGCAATGGTCTCAAGTTGTGGTGGGAGAAGTCCAGGTTGGATATTAGGAAAAACTATTTCCCTAGGAGGGTGGTGACGCACTGGAATGGGTTCCCTAGGGGAGTAGTGGAGTCTCCATCCCTAGAGGTGTTTAAGTCTTGGCTTGACAAAGCCCTGGCCGGGTAGATTGAGTTGGGTTGGTCCTGCCTAGAGCAGGGGGCTGGACTTGATGACCTTCTGAGGTCTCTTCCGGCTCTACGAATCTATGACACCTGGAGAACCCTGCTGGCGGGACGGCAGGGGCTGGGCTGGGGGGGATATTTATACCCGTGTTTGTCAGGGGAATGTGTGTAGCTGGATTGCAGGGCCCGCAGCATGTGTCCCTGCCTCTCCCCCGCCAAGGCCGGCTGTCTGGAGACACCCCCGCCACCCTGTCCGCCCGCCGTGGAGTGTCTGTATCCATTGATGCCGGGTTGGGCTATTCCTGTCGCGCTCTGCTGCCCCCGGATCACCGTCTGGCTAAAAATACCCGCCCTCCCCCCCTCCCTCTCCCGCCCCAGGAGCGTCAGGCAGCGCCGTGTCCCCACCAGAGACATGGGCACACACCGGGGGAGGGGTAGCAGAGGTGGCAGCCGGCATGAAATGCAAGGGGAGCAGATGAGGGTGGCAAAGAGGGGGCGGCTTCCTGGGCACCCATGAGCGATGGGAACCCGAGCCCAGTGTGTGTGCCCCTCGCGGCGCCCAGCCTTGTGCTCTGACCCCGCAGCCCGTGCCTACGTTTAGCTGTGGGGCTTTGGGGGTGGAGGGAGCTCCCCTCTGGAGCTCCTCGATACCCCCTCTGTGTTGCCCGCAGGGTCTGAACTTCTCTCTCAACCCCCTCCCTCTTTTAATTGTGTTTCCTCCCAGCCTGGCTGGACCCCCAGACTTGCCTAAGTGCCTGGCCAGCCCTGGCCGTGCACAGCCCCACGGACCCTGCACGCTAAGGTAAGGCTGTGATCGGCAGTGGGGGTTGGGGTGTGCATGCATGTGTGTGTGTGTGTGTGTGTTGTGCGCGCGCTCCTGGCGGTCTGCAGTACCTCCTGACCAGCAGGGGGTGTCTTGTGCCCCAAGGTATTCATGCTGCCAAGAACATGGGGCTGGCGCACTCTGGTGTCCCAGGAGAGCTCTGGACATGTATACGGGCCAGTCGTTAGGAGATCCCATGTAGGGATGTAACAGTGTAGTCGATTAACCGATCAGCAAAAGCCAATGGGTTAATGCTATAGACTACACACATTCACACACCCCAGTACATTTTTTAGCAAGCTGGCCAGGACCGACCCCTGCTGCGGCTCTGCATCTAAAGTGTGTCAGGAGCCAGAGAGGCAGGCAGCCCGGCTCTGTCCCGGCTCACACCGGGTCCGGGAGCT